CCCCCCCTACTTTGTTGATACGCCTGTATTTGAGCACCCTTTCCCCCTCACACGTCTATGACTTCGGTACACCACTATCAAATATTACTACTTTACTACCTACCGATGCCGAACAAAAACGCCACGCCGATGGAGACCACCCAGGAGGTGAGCCCTTTGCTCTGTCCGAAGTCTTGTAGCCAGGAGACGTAGAGGACTCCCAGAGAGAACATGGTGCCCACGGTAAACATGTGCACCACAAAACTGCAGGCCACCATGACGAAGCCACAGTATCGAGCTGGCGTCATACTGCCCGCGCACCTGGTCCTGGCCATGACTCTCACGCTCTGTCACTCCAGCCGTCTGCGAGAGAGAGAGAAAGAAAGGATAGGCAGAACGTTGTAGTAACTCTATCTATGAAAAATGATGAAATGTTATTGGTTTAACGCCCCTATCAACACTATTAGGTTATTTAAGGGGCGGGACCTCCTAGTTTAACGTCCGTCTCCGATAGGACCGAGCCAAGTGGGAAGTTCGTGTAAAGTGTCTTTCCCAGGGACACAACGTCAGACCGAGCTGAGGCTCGAACCCCCGAACCAACAATCTCACGATTGCGAGTCCGGTAGCCTGACCACTAGGCTACCGATGCCACCCTCTATCTATGAGTAACATGTGAAACTTTGAGAAATTAAAGTGCACGTCTATTGTTTTGAAGGCTCCAACGACCCCTTTGACCCAAACCGTTTTGCTTTTTTAAAATCGTTTTGATTTGTTTTTCTTTTGTAGTTTTGACCTTTCAAACACTCGGGTGATATAGTTGCTATACATCGTTGCAACCTGTGACACGCATTATACCACTGCCATTCACATTGTCAATTATTCTGTATCTTTACTGCGTACCAAGTCCACAACTACAGTTGAATGAACAGGAAACCATGAAAAAAACAACAGAACAGGGTATTCTTTTCTTAGAGACGAAATGTGTTGTAAAGTAATAAATGTTAATTCCGCATTCTCATAATAATTTTAAATAATCTCTCGCGCATAATATCTCGGGGACCCATTTTTTTACCCACGGATAGTGGAGGCCAAGTTATCACCCAATGTTCTGGGCTGTGAATCGCCGCTTTTTTTAAAAACTGGCTGGGTACTTGTTCGGGAAACGGACTCAAAAGAATCGATCGTCAAGTCATTGAGGAAACAGTCCGCACTGCTTGTGAACTGAAGCCTCACTTGTTTACAATGGCGTTTCAGAAGACGGACGGACTTTCCCAAGATTAGATCCTAACGAAAATAATGAAAACCTGAAAATTAAACCACAGTAACTTCAGACTCCTTAATAATTATAACTAACTATACACCCTGTAAATGATTCTGAACCACCGTTTTTTTTTTTTCTTATTCGAAAGTTAATTGTTTCGGAAGTTTTAGGTGACCAAAATTTTAGGTGACGAACTTTCTCAAATAAAATACATGTATTACAAGTCCAAAGCTTTGGCATTCAACCTGGACGAGAGAAGATACATCTATTGTAACATGTGTAACCTGAAAATTAAGCCACAGTGACTTCAGACTCCTTAATATAACTAACTGTGCACCCTGTAAACGATTCTGAACCACCGTTATTTTTTTTCATATTCGAAAGTTGAGTGGTTCGAAAGTTTTAGGTGACGTAAGTTTTAGGTGACGAACTTTCACAAATATGATACATGTATTACAAGTCCAAAGCTTTGGCATTCAACCTGGACGAGAGAACATACATATTGTAACATATTATGTGTACAGTTTCGACGGCAACGGCGGGTTGTTTTTTTCCACACTACACTGCTTGTATTGTTTTTATCGCTCATTTTACGTCAAGGGTGCACATGTTAAACAGGCGGGGTAGGCCGCGGAGGAGGAGGAAGAGGAGGAGGAGGAGGAGATAGGGGAGGAGGAGAAGGGGAAGGTGGAGGAGTCGGGGGTTTTTTGTGTGTTTTTTTAAACACAAAATATGTGTTGGAGGGGGGGGGGGTCGCTGCGAGGTCAAGTACACTTTGGGTCACTTCTCGAGGGCACATGATAATGTTCTGATTCAGTGAGTCAGCCAGAGTAGTTGACGCAAGCTGTGACCTTTTCGAACAATAACGGCGCCCCTCCCTCCCCCTCCCTCCTCCTCCCTCCCCCCTCCCCCAGACCCCCACTCCAAATCCTTTCCTCACTTCACCCAAGCGTATCCGTCTTTCCGCAGGTACATACATAGTAGACATTGTGTCACAAATGTGGAATATGGTGTTGCGCGCAGCCTAGCTTGACCCTGGGAGTGAAAGGTGAAGCGAAGGGTCAAGACGACTTGAATCACGGGTGTCAAACTCGAGACAAGCGTGTCGCATTCAGCCTTGCGAACAATTAGTAGTGTTTTCTGTTCAGTCTGAGAGAGATTAATAATATAATTATAGCTCTCTCTCTCTCTCTCTCTCTCTCTCTCTCTCTCTCTCTCTCTCTCTCTCTCTCTCTCTCTCTCTCCATATATAGCGGGCTAACCCAGATTTCGGGGGTTTCCAGAAATCTTAACCTGCACCAAAAGTAGGCATTACCTTACCCATAGAAGAAGTTTGGTTTCTGTAGTGTGTATATTTGTTTGGTTATAGAAAAAACCCTTCTTGTATTTTAAAGAAACTGAACAAGGGGCAAAACTTTACCTTCGATTTTTTCAAAACAGCATTTTTCGTGATAGCCCCCTTGTGATTAAAAGCGACCATATACATATTTATTCATTTATTCATTTATTTTTAACATTTTTAAAAGTACATGTAGTTCATTTTGGAAGATATCCATAATACAGAACCCTACTCTAAACGTAAGTAAACGAATTTGTTGGCAAGAAAAGATGCCAAAAGTCCAGCTGTGGCAAACTGGCATTGGACCAAAATTTGGTATGCTTTGATTTATTATAATAGCTTTAACCTCTGTGTGTATTCATTCACTGTATTGTTTGGTTCTTTTGGGGGGTCATTTTAGTTTTAAGATGGTATAGTTTTCACCCAACGACGAGTGTTTATCCAGTTCGGCCCAAAACCATATTTAATATATTGTGGTCTGAGTTTGGCCCCTAATGAAATTGAGCTTGACACCTCCAATCTAAGTCACCTAAATGGAGTCAATGGGAACGTAAAATATCAATCGACATTCGCAGTCCACGCGTCAACGGAACTGACCCTGAAAAAAAAAGAGAATGATCGAGAAAAATTCACTGCTGTCACTTACCCCCAACACTTTGTTGGCATCATGGTGGAGTATGGAGTGGATTGCTCAGGTTCAAATCTCCAACGCAACATTTGTAGTTTGATACTCTGCTTTAGAACCTTCTTGTTAGCTCTGTCTGTTGGTATCATGCTGGGCAACGGAGTGGGTGGCTCTGGTTCGAGTCTCATAACGCAACACTTGTTTTCATACTCTGCTTTTGGGGCGTGACGATAACTCTGTTGATATCATGGTGGGGTATGGAGCGGGTGGCTCTGGTTCGAATCCCCAAAGGAGCGTTCTTGGACTTGGGTTGTTTTGAAGAGGTTCGAGCCCATTTGGCTTGGTCCTATCGGAGAATGACGTTAAATTCATAGGTTTATCCTTTTAGTTATGATAGTGAATAAGGGGCGTTGAATCTATACAACAACAGCAGCAGCAGCAGCAGCAGC